TCGTGATTCTCGGGAACATCTAATAAGACTTAATTTAATGCGTAGCCCGTGACAACAGAGAATCGAATCCAAGAACTTCAAAACACGGGATACAAGGCTAAACAAGAACTAAGGTGTTCCTTTTTTTTGCGTTGCTTCCTAGTAGGTTTCCATTTCATTAAATTTTATTGCTGATGAGATACTGCTCTAGTGAGAAGGAGCCTTATGAAGGCTTATTTTGACAAGTTCTCACTATAAAACCACATTTAAGTAACATTCAATAGGTAGGAGATTCTTAGCGGGCTGATTTAGAATCGATAGACCAAGTGACAGACAAAGGAGGCAATGGGGCAATGGAGCTATCTTATTGGTGGAAGTAGAGGCAACAACAAGGGTAAAAATGATGGATTGACTATAGGGTCTCTCTTGGGTTGCCGTTAGTTAGTTACCATCTTTGTTCATTGCAACCACTTTCCACCAATAGGATCGCTCCATTGTTTCCTTGTCTCCTCTGTCTATAGCTTTATCTATCAATTTCAATAATCAGCCCACAGGTCGTTAAAAATACATCATCAGATGTAAAGGTAAGAAAAAGTTTCGTAATATCAGCATTGAGATTTCCATAATTAATTTTGTTGTATTTTTCATCAGTATCTTCGATTTACACCGTCTTTCCCGGTTCCAATCCAAAGTGACCAAGCGCTCTCGAGCCATACTACGATGAGGGTGGGGTGGGGTTGGCGGAGGCTTTCCTATTCTTTCGAGGCTGCTCTCCGGTGAAAAATGGAATTCACCGAAAAAGTCATTCCACTAATGCCCCCTGGTCGATCTTCACAGAAGTGGTCGCTACTTCAATCATCTTTCATTTTTAATTCATTCGTCGGAATGCAACGCCCGGAAGTCGCGTTTTTTCCTCTAGTTTTGGTCTGCGGTTACGGTGAGAGTTTTCTTTCTTTTCCCCCTGCTTTTCCCGGTTCGGCCTGATTGATGAGAATCTCCAAATGGAACAATTCGGAATTAGTCTAGGTATTTTTTTCGGATTGAAAAACGCAACTGTCAAACAGCCCCTTGAAATCTGGTTTGAAATCCTCCGCGCCGCGCCGTCCCGTTGTCAGGCTTTTGTTGCTCGGTGGAACCTGAGAACTTTAATACCGCCTCTTTATCGGATTATCCGGAATTCATTTTGTGCCCAATCTTAAGGGGAGAATGCGGCTGCTCTTTTATTTTAATCCCTAAAACAATTATTCTTTGACATTCAGAAATTCCTTCAACCTTACCATGACCGCCTTGGATCTTCGAGACCGTTACATGGGATTTTTTTGGGGGAAAAAAACAAGCACATGCACACATATTGATGTTGAAATTCCCAAACCACATATCGCGGTTTGCGACGTTGCAGACTTCCTGTCATAGTTTATTTTTTAAATGGAGAACTACTCACCGTCAATTCCTGAAAACTTTCTTGATTTTACTCTTGGTGTGAGGCAAATTTCGGAAAAACTTCAAGGTATGATGTCCATTTGTTCTTCTTTTCAAAAATAAAATAGAGGCGGAGATTTTTACACACCGCAAACGAGATACGTGGTTTGGTAGTTTGGAAGTTTCAGTGTCGATGTGAGACTCTTGAATAAGACAGATGCATTGAAAATTAGAAGAAATACAGGATAACGAGGGAAAGAAGGAATGGTAGAAAAGGACGAAGAAGAAAAAGACAGTGGAGAAGAAGAGAAGAAGTTGAAGGAGAAGAAAGAAATTGGGACAAAAAGATAATGAGATAGAGGAAGAGTAAGATGGGGCAAGAGAAAGAAGAGGAGGAGGAGGAGGAGGAGGAGGAGGAGGAGGAGGAGGAAAAAGAGCACTAAAAGGGAGGAATGTAAAAATAATTCTTTTTTCCTCGTCTTTTCTTTATTTTTTTCCTCCTTCTCTTCATTCTTCTCTCTCCTCTTCTTTCTCTTCCTTTTCTGCCTCTTCTTATTTTTATTCATTTCCCCCCCGTCTTTGTCCAATTCCTGATGCACCTCCATCTGCTGTATGTTACAAGTCTTAGGCTATTTCTTGTGTGTGTTGAAATCTCCCCATGTAAGAGTGTAATAGATACGAGTTAGTCAGACTATGGTTAGACACTTGACTACATTTTGCAATAAGAAGCAGCAAATTATGGCTCATTTTAGAAACAGCGTACGTGTTATTAGTTGCCTCATGCAGATAGATGCTTTCATGAATAATCGAGGAATAGATAAGTTCCTTCTTGAAAAAGTCAGTCCCATTGGGAACTTTCCACAAAATACGCGGAGCTTGACTATTCGTTGAGGCCTTTGAGAAAATGCCCGATTTCACCATTAACCTGCAGCAGATGCGGTGCTCATGCATCGATGCCTTATGAACTCGGCGCCGGGAGGGAAAGGGAATTTCGGCTAAATTTTAATCCAATGAGGCAATTAAGGAGACACGGCGCCAGCCGGGAGAGACATTTCCAACAAACGGCCGCCGTTAAAGAGGAGAAAGTTCCGGCGACAAAAGAGATAAGCGGAAAAGCCCCCCGAGAGGAAAGCAGCCCGCCCAAAGGCCACTAAACAGGCTCATTAAAAGGCTATAGTCTATTGTTCCTTGCGTCATGGTCATTTTTGATACCGCGGCCGTGACGGTGAGTGACTTGACTTTTACTTTCCTTTTTTTTAACCGGCCTCAAATGAGCTTTTGAAAGCTTTTACCCTTCCTCTTGTTTTTTTTTTCGGTGAAGGAACGCGAAACATCACGACTCGACGGTTCCAGGCGGCTTGAGCCTGCCCTTTGATTGAAAAATCTTCCCGAAAAACCTCATTATTCGTGATTTTCATAAATGTATTGCCTTTGAACCCCCTGCCGGCTGATTATTGAAATCGATAGAGAAAGATATAGACAAAGAAGACGTAGAGAGTATGGAATGATCCTATTGGTTGCAACTGGTGGTTATTACAGACTAAGGGAGGAAATGATTCATTATTGTAATTCATAATTGTATTGCCTCTGAACCCCCTGCCGACTGATTAATGAAATTGATAGACAAAGCAATAGATAAAGAAGACGTATATAGAGAGTATGGAACGATCCTATTGGTTGCAACTGGTGGTTATTACAGACTAAGGGGGGAAATGATGGACTAACCATCGCGGGTCTCTTGTTGGTTGCCGTTAGTTAGTCTATTACCTACCTCCTTTGTCCATTGCAATAGGATCCACCATTAGGATCCCTCTATATCCCTTTTTTCTTCACTGTCCATAGCTTCGTCTCTCAATTTCAACAGTTAGCTCGCTGCTCCCTTATAATGTTTTTACCGTTCACATCATNNGAACATGTCTGGCTACGCCGCTGATCAATCGATGACTAAAATTCAAAATAAACACTTCCATTGCAACGTCTGAAAATCTCCGATTATGTTTCACTGATGACAATATATTTTAGAAACCTTGAGGTGCTTCTTCCTTATAGTGTAAAAGTTAATTTCGGGATTCAAATCGCAGATTCGCTCGATAATGACCCGCCATGGTTGACCGAAGAGCTAAGCGATTGGCTTAGCAGGCCTCATTCATAATTATTGCAAAAACTTGAGAGCTCATCCCGATGTTAAACAGTCATCGTTTGGCGAATTTTATACTCTACAAGTTACTCACCGATCATCACTACGCGGAAAGTAGCGTTGACCTCCGAACTGCTTTTGCCTCACCCTATCATATTGCCTAGATTTTCAGTGTGGAAACTGCAGGGTCACTAAGATGTATTAATTGTCTCTGGTTTTATTTCTTTAAAAAAACTAACTAAAACATTTTTCAAATATGGCAAAACATATTCACCGAACTTTTTTCTGAAGTCTGAAGTGAATTCACAGAGTATTTTGTGTAAAACTTTCGGGAGTTTACTTGCAGTTAAATTAAGCGAGAATAGAGATCCGCAACGTGGTTTTTGAAAATACGCGTTTTCTGACGTCATCTATATCGATGTGTGACCGTCCGTAGGGAGGTAAAGGAACCCTAGTCCACGAAGACTTGACATTGAGTTATTAATAGTCGATACCAAACATGACGGAGCAGGGCTCTTAGAGTATGGTAAGCGTAGCCAGATGCACGACTTCACTGATAGAAATCAAGTAATCGTCACTATATTTCCTGGAGACCGCACCTAAGTTACATCCTACTAACCGCTTATATTCGTTTTTATACGTGTACTTTTGCACTTTAGGAAGTTTCAACTTTCCAATGTTTGATTTTAAACGTATACGAATATTTTGGTGCTGTTCGAGTACGATGTTAAGACCTCATACACACCTCGGCTTTTTAATGGTTTGTGTTATTTGCGTTTCGTGTTTGGAAGGTTTTTTTTTAGATCTGAAAATCGACAGCTATGTAGGTTACACCGACGCGGCTCGCTGGCGGAGCAAATGGTGGCGTCACTTGAAGAAGTTTGGTCGGTGACTGACCTCGTCCTTTGAGTAATTATTGTGAGTGTCGTCAAATAAACGTACTCTATTTATAGATCGAAAGAACACGGTTAGACAAAAATAATAGAAGCTATGATATACATTCAGGTGAATCTTAGTATGTTTTCCAGTGGCGTGGCGTGAATTGCGGTGTATCGATTGTTATGCCATTTAAACCTATGGTAAAGAATCGAGTATTATAAGGTGTTCGCTGCGAACACTCTGTCTATCGATCCTTTTCCATAGGTTTAAATGGCATAACAATCGATATATCGCAATTCACGCCACGCTACTGATGTTTTCGATGTACTCGGACTCATTATTTACGGCTTGTTGAATCGTTGAGTTGTAATCGACCAGACTCTGCAAGACAACATTTGCGGAGTCTAATCAGACTTGTTAGACTAAATTGACCGTGGAGAATAAAACTCTCCAAATCCACATTTTCACTGGTACATCCAAAACTACAAGATTTTCAACATTTTAAAGTATTTCACTCCTATAAGGACATAAAATCCCTTCCTCTGTGAAGGAAGTTAATAAAATTTACAAATTGTATCTTTCTTACCTCTTATGGGCTTAGTTTGTGACGGTCAAAGATTACACAGTGAAATGGTCTGCCTGAAAACAGAAATTAACGATCAGAATTAAACATTTCGTATTTAAAGCGGAATAAAATCACCTGTAGGATATGCCATGCCCGGATTTAGTTTTTTGCTGCACCGTGCAACAGGAATTTTGCCTTCCACTGACCAAATCTTATCATAATACTGCAATTCCATTGTAGAAAAAAATTCATGCTTTAATTATATTTTATTGAATGTATATATAGATGCACAAGTCACTTTTACAGCGCGCCCGAGCGCTCTGCGACACCTAATCGCCACCCTTGTCTATCAAAACAGAGGTCATTGCATAAATTGCGTTCAACGTCCGGCGGATGACAGATTGTCGAAGGAGTTACTAAATTGGGCCTCTCCTGGTAGGGGACGTTCAGTGAAGTCGTGGATAGGTGGCATTCAAGGTGGAATTTTATTGAATGTATATTGCAAGATTATTTCAATATTTCCGTTGCACTATGCTACTTTGGTGATAGCTGTGTCACAAAATTGAAACACAGCGTTGACATTCCTGTACGCGGAAAAAGTTCTCGGCGCGTGGCGGTAAGGATAAACCGAACATATGATCCGTGAACCAAATAGGTTGCGAATTCAGGGAAACGAGCATAATGGTCTATTTGCTCGTTCAAGTAAGGAGGAATATCGGTTGTCGTAAGAACTTTCTCGGAAAGCGAGAGCCACTACATGGGTACTCACTTCATTTTCAGGCCACACAGAGCACAGAGGCGTGGAAGGTGACGTTTTAATTTTGCAGATGGGGTTGCGATAAGTGGGCACGTGTTTATTACACCTCACTCGTCAATATTAAGAAAGTGTCATCCGTGCGAAATTGATAGCATGCAGCGTTGCCATACACCGAAAAAGAAACATTTGAGCCCATCATGGGGGGAAAAAAAACATTTCACGTCGGAGACAAAAAGCAGGTTCACAGTAAAAAAAAATTAATCAAAATATTCTGTGTAAGAAATAAACCACGAAGAAATTGTTGGAAAAAAGCTGTTGGTTGAATTTTTGTGTTAATTTTCCCTGTGTCGAATCGACAAAATCTTTGTGTTGAAAATCTGTGACCTCGTTAAAAATTAGTCGTCAGCTTTCAGCGGGCTGACTGTTGAAATCAGCAGACAAAGCTATAGACAAAATAGACGAAAAGGATATGGAGGGATCCTAGTGGTGCGTAAGCGGGTGGTTATACAATGGACAAAGGAGGTAGGTAATAGACTCACTAACGGCAACCCACGGGAGATCCTTTAGTTAGTCCATTATTTCCTCCCTCAGTCCATAAAAACCACTCATTTCAACCAATAGGATTGCTCTATACACCTTATGTCTTCTTTGTCTATCATTTTGTCTATTAATTTCAAAATCAGCCCGCACCTGGATCGCATCGGTGGAAATCTAGTGCGCTAGCCACTCGCAAATCGCAGATCGTCTAATTTAGACGAAGTTTCACAGCGTCATCCTCCTCACGAAAGAACGTAACTAAAATTCAATGTTGCCAAATTTCCTCGTGTGCATTGCATTTTCACTAGTAGAATCTCAGGTGTCTCTGACTAAAAATTCCACTAATTTTCCGTCTAATCTTACGCAATAATCAGAAAAATTTTCGACAAAAATTGCGTAGGTACATTCTTGTAAAAAATTGAATAGTTCGAGCCAATTTCGCAACCTTGGAGTAGGGTTACGTTCCTTCATCCGAGAAACGACGACAGAATCACATCCAGTCACGTTTCGGAAAAATTAGTTAGAATTCAGTAGTTTTGAAGCGAGGAGCCTGGAGGACAAGGCACATAAGTGCAGTTTTTTAAAAAAAAAAATAGATATTAATGATTTCAAATAAAACTAGTTTTAATGCAAATTCTGCGAAAAATTCGCCCCAAAATCCCAACTTTTAAGCATCCAAATTCAGTTTGAACTTTCTCTCTACCACAGGGACCCGTGTAATTTCGAAACTTCAAACACGTATACTTCTCGAGGTAGCAAAAACTGCACTTATGAGCCTTGTCCTCCAAGCCCCTCAATTCAACTAATCGTAAATTTTCTCCTGTCAAAAATTCAAAGTTTAGAGACAATATTTTGAAAGTGACAACAGTCGTCAGACTTTGGCTTCCACAGTGAGAGTCATGGAAAAATGAAACATCTAATCTTCTTTACCTGGCCCAAACTTGACGCGACCTGCAATTCGTTCCTTACTCGGTTCAGTTTTCTCACAAGTTTAAACTATCATCGCGAGTTTTTTAATGCATTTTTTTTTATCTTACTGCGAGTTCCGAAACTGTAAGTTCCGTTCCACTCATCGCCACATCGCGAATCTCCCACAGAAGAATTAATTAACCCTCAAACTACCGAATCCAATTTTTTGCGATTTTTTGCACAGCCATGAAAACGAATGCTCCCGGTGACCTTTTCGTGTCCAATAGTGACCATTCATCTATCTTTTTCTCACGCAGTGCAATCAGCAAAATTCACGCACATGTATCAATATAAAAGCAGACAATCCCGTGGCTAAACCATCAGTTCTTCGATCAGTCTCAAGATCCTCACATCTTCCCCAGTGTTTGTGTGTTTTACTAGTGTTCCATCATGCATTTACTATCCGTGGTCGTTATGGTCTGCTGCTTCGTGGCCGCTGTGTTGGCGGCGCCGGCCGAATTTTATACCTCCCAATTTGACAACATCGATATTGAAAGCATCTTGCGAAATGAAAAGCTCCTCGATAACTACTTCAAGTGCCTCATGGACGAGGGACCCTGCACCAGCGAGGGACGCTTTCTCAAAAGTAAGTTCACGCTTATGTTGAACACTAAAAGAAAATTTCGATTGGCGAGGCAGAAGTTCAATATCGACCACAAAACGTTTGATCCAACAAACCGAATGACCACCTCGAACTTCTTTTCTTAGTTTGTTTACTTGTAAAAGTTTCGTTAGGCAAATCGAAAGTTTGGTTTGATGGCTATATATGGCTTGGTTGACGCTCATCATTACGCAGTTCTTATATGATCGGTTATTTTTTCTCATTTTTCTCTCCGGTTCTTCGTTTCTGATATACTCATGGACACAAGACGTTAAAAATATTCGATCATAAAAACTTGAATAGAAGAACAGTAGAATCAAAATCGTTAGGTTGATTCTGATATAGTTTACTGCAAGTTAGTCTATCGACGATGAAACTACCAGACCAGGTATCTCGTTTGCGGTGTTTAAAAATCTCCGCTCCTATTTTACTCTTTTGACGGAGAACAAATCAATTTCGCTCTTTGAAGTAGTTTTCACAGAATTTTCATCGCACAGAGAAGAAAAATCACGGAAGTTTTGAAAAATTGACGTTGAGGGGTTTTCCATGTAAATAACGAAGTATGAGAAATATTCTACAACGTCGCAAACCGAGATACGTGGTCTGGTAGTATCACCGTTGATATCCTTGATCAGACAAGGTATTCAACAAAAATTATTGGATTGATAAATGGACTGCATCTTGCAATTAGGAACTATTTCTATCTTATTCATAAAAGTCCTTATCCACATAAGAAAATGAAGGCATTAGCGTTGTTTCTAAAATGAGTCAGAAAAAAAAAGTTTCCAATCGCAAAATGTGATTAAAATATTGCTCCTCGGGGCATGTACGTGTTCTGGCCTACATCGAAAATTGAAGGCGAGATAGCGGTGTGTGTAATCTCCACTTCTTCTCAATGTCATATTGCATTGCATCCCATAAAAGTTAAACCAGATAAGGCCATTGGCGTTCATATCTGTGCTTCATGAAGGACAATAAGCTAACGACCGAGGACACACTATTCTTGATACTCTCCTTTAACTCGCATCTATGCACAAGTCACGATTTTATCGATCGCATGAAGTTTTACGAAGTTATTGTGGTGGGATTTGGGCATGTATATGTGATTTACGATCACTACATTCGATGCAATGATTGTTACAGATTTATTGCCTGATGCACTGAACACTAAATGCGCCAAATGCACGGACAAACAAAAGAAGATTGCTCGTAGAGTGATGACGTTCTACTTCGACAAGTATCCTGCCAACGCCGCCAGGGCTATCAAAAAGTACGACCCCGAGAACAAACTTAAGGATGGTCTCGAAAAGGCGCTTCTTGGAGCCCGTTAAACAAGCGTTTTGGAGAATAACCATTTCCTGCCTGACATGAATATCAGTTACCATTTTCCTTTCGGAGGGATGTATAATGTATTTCTATCCAACTTTCATGAGCTCGCATGAGTTTAAAGCCAGTCAGCATGGTAAATTGGTCGCAAAGCAAATATTTGCGAGGTATTCCAATTTGCTAATATTAATGAGCAAATAATTCTTAAGGTGATTCGATGGACGCCATATTTTGTGTCGGAGCGGCATGCGATAATCGCACCAATTGGTTCCATTTTTTCAGCTACTCGTCATTTTTCTCCAATTTTGAGATCGCAATTCTGTTGTCAAGAGACTAAAGCACTCACTTACCAATTTTAACAAAGAAATTCAACGTAATAAAGGCGTGGTTTTTTTAGAGAGAAAATTCGAGTGCAGGTTCGACATCAGTATCGAATGTGATGTTTTCTCTCTGAAAAAAAACACGCCTTTATTACGTTGAATTTCTTTGTTAAAATTGGTGAGTGCTTTAGTCTCCAGACAACGGAATTGCGATCTCAAAATTGGAGAAAAATGACGAGTAGCTGAAAAAATGGAACCAGTTGATGCGACATATCGCATGCCGTTCTGACACAAAATATGGCGTCCATCGAATCACCTTAAGCATCTAAAGTTTTTCCGGCTGTGATTGTGAATTAATCATCGTTTGGTACGATAAAGTTGAGAGAACATCGATAGCTAAAGGCGAAAAATTCTCATTTTAATGGCATCGTTATAAAATCATTAATTATGTTGAGAAAAACCAATTAAAATTTTTTCTTAAAATTTTTTGTGACTCACCTAAGATGAGTCACAGAAAATTGCAGTAGCAACTGATTTCTCCTCTAAAAAAAAATATAAAATGAGCAGAAAGTTGTAATGTTGTAATCTGAGATGCGAATTTTTCGCTTAAGCCATCGATACCTAATTTCAATGCTGATATCAAAATTTTTAAATTTAAAAATATTCATCAAGTTCCCTCAAGACAGGACCATAGCTTTGACCAAGCCTTTTAACTTCAATAAATCCCTTTTTAGCGACTAGAATTACCGTTAGACTGCTCATTTGCCGTGCTCAAATGATCCGCAAGTCTAGCGAGTGTCATGTAAATGTTGTGTGTGTGTGTATTATTATGTACATTATTTAATTTATTATTTTATAAATATATCAAGGAATCAAAGGAAAATTAAATAATAATAATATCATAAAGTCAATTTTGCCTTTTGCTCTCCAAATCACCATCAAAAATTAGATTTTTTAATCCTGACTTGTCATCGGAGATTCTTGCTAAAGTTACATAAATAATTCATTAATTACGTTGTAGTAGGTATAAATTTTCAACCTATACTCTTGCCTCGTGAATAGTCATATTTCCTCCCAACAGATATTTCGTCAGAACAAAATTTACTAAAGTTTACTAAGAATGTGCGATCCACCCAAGGACGAAGATAGACCCACTATCGAAGTAAATTGACATAAGGGGGGAACTTTTGCTTTTAGGAATTCATCGGTTTCTTTTTGACGTATTAGCGCCCATCTTATATTCTCGTTGACTGTGTAGCAAAGTGGGAAGATTGTATTGAGGAGTAAGCATCGGCATTCAAGTACTCTGCAACTTCACCTAATAGCAGCTTGTCTGCCAGACAACACATTGCTAACAAAGCGGCAATCTCATAGGTAACGCGATAGAGCACTAGTAGCGGAAATTTCTACCTGTCACAAAAATATTTGTAAAGGTCTCCAGTTGAAATAGGTTTTTCTCTGTGCAGATTGCAGGGTCCCATCTGTATTTTTACCAAAATGAACGGGTTGTGTCGTTCCTCAAACGAAAGAGCGTAACTAAATCTTAACGTTACGAGATTGCCTCTTGCAAGTTCTCACATATTCAGCCTATAGTAATTGGTGGACATTTTTGACTGAAAATACCACGGATCTCTCCTCAGAATACCCGCTGAAGTCTGCTTTTTGAATGAAAATTCTACATTCAAATTGCAAAATATTGAATCGTTCGCGTCAGTTCAGCAATCTTGGAGCATAGTAACGTCCACACTGGGGGGGGGGGGGNAAAAAAAAAAAAAAAAAAAAAACCACATTGGATCTAGAGTTCAGACTCTTGAAAACATTGTTAAGAAAAGGACTCTTGATTCAATCAGAGTTAAGCTTGAATCGAGAACCAAGCCTCTTAATTTGAGCGGATTTCCTTTTGATTTAAGCCTAAATCTAATTGTATCAAGAGTCTTTTATCTTGTCAATGTTTTCAAGAGTCTGGACTCTAGATCCAATGTGGTTTTTTTCCAGTGTCCCTTTTTTTGAGAGGAAAAAGACGAAATATGGTAAATGAAATCATGTAATCATCAATTATAAAGTCACTAAAGAAAATGTGTGAAGGGATCGCACAAATCATATGCACCCGATTCCTTTTGATTTAATTGGTTTTTAAATAGTGCCTTGCAGAATAAATACACCCGTAGACTCGACTCCGGTCGTTTCGATTCATTTTGATGGCCAAAGTGCGGAACCACGTCTTTAAATTGCAGTCTTTCAAAATTTCCGCGACTCTTTAATTTTTTCGAAGAGGAATAAACTAACTTCACAGCTTGAAATATTTACAGGATATTCTGCAAACCGAGAAGAAAAAACAAGAAAGATTTGAAAAAAATACGTCTGCTAGTTTCCAAAAGAAAAAATGAAGTATGGCAGGGAGTCTACGACGTCACAAATGGAGATACGCGGTTTCACACTTTGACCACAGATTCGATGTGTGAAACAGGGTGAAAAAAATGACGCAAACGAGGAAGTTTGCAGTTGGGGCCGTTAAATCACGTAAAATGCACGTGGACGTGTTTCCGGCAGGGCGACGCGACACGTCTTCGAATGTGTATTACTTAGTTGTCCGAAGTTTTTGCCGCGGGGCGCCACCAAGCTCGTTTAGCCGTGGATCATAGGGGTGGTGGACCGGGAGGGGGGGGTGCAAGGGCGGCGGGAGTCGGGGACAGGGGGAGCGTCACGAGAGATTTCCCACGCGCGATGCCTCTTGATGTGTTGCAGACGATCCAGTGGCGTGGCGGGCTTTGCGATACATCGATTGATCTGCCATTTAAACCTTTGGCAAGGGATCGATGAACAGGGTATTCCCAGCGAACACTTTAATAATCGATTCTTTACCATGGTTTCAAATGGGGAAATATCGATAATCGATTTATCACGCCTCGCCTCTGAGACGGTCTTCAGTCGCTTATCTTTACTTGAGCGGATTGTACATGCACTTGAGTAGAGTAGTGTTAACGCCATCAGTGTCGCACAGCACTTAGGCGCTTCTCCTCTGGCGAGTCGATCTTTTATCCAGTGGCGTGGCGTGAATGATCGATTATGGATATTTCCCCATTTGAATCCGTGGTAAAGAATCGATTATTAAGGTGTTCGCTGCGAACACCCTGTTAATCGATCCTTTTCCATAATTTTAAATGACAGATCAATCGATATGTCGCAAAGCACACCACGCCACTGCTTTTATCAGGTCATGGCCCTCGCTCTCGTCCGTCAGGTCACTCTTTTCCTGCAACTATACCCACAATAAATCGATTTGGCTCGTATTTAAGAAAAGAAAGAAGATCTAAATAAAAAAAAATAAAACTCATTCAAATATATGCATTATGGGGCCGTTCCTATGTTACATCCAGGCCCGCCACAAGGGGGGAGATACTGGGTCCTCGGTACCGTGACGCAGGTGACAAACCACTACGAATTCATGTGTAACCCTTGTCTCGTAAGGAAAAGTGAAAAAATTACCCTAAAAATTCCGCAAAAGGTGAATAAAGTTTCAAAAACACGCTAGGGCACTATAAAATTTTTCTTACTTTTTTAGAGATTTCTATCTATATTTTCAAGATTTTGAGTATATGTATAGAATGATATTTTTAGTAACTGCGTTTCATTTTCCTCCGTTGTCGAATGCGAAGAGGCTCCTGTCTGGGCATCCTCGACTTCAATGGCTCAACTCCCTTGCTATAGACGTACGAAAGGGGAGTCCAGGGGGGCCCGGCTCCCCCTAGAATTGAAAAGTAGCATCTGCCCCCCTCGAAAAATAATTTATAGATGTTTTGAATGCAACAATTTGAAAGTATTTGGTGCTGAAAGTAAAAAAAAAAAAAGCGTAATTATTCTGCAGAAATTGATGGAAAATCTCCAAAGAGCTTCAAAATGCGTCCAAATAGATTTAAAATTTCAAAAATTTCCCGGGGGAGGCCCCCCGGACCTCCCTCTGTGCTAGGGGCCCGGGCCAGAAAATTGGTACCAGGGCCCGAGATGGGATGTGGCGGGCCTGTACATAACGCACTTTTTCGGCATTTTTGACCCCCCCCCTCCCATCTTGTTACGCTTTTGTGACGAAAGTCCCTATCTTGTAACACGTAAAAACAAAATGCTCTCTACGACAGCCCCCCCTCCCCCCGCTTAAAGCGTTATGTCTTAAACGGACGATCCCTGTAGAGCAATCTCTATTCGACCCATGATAACGATTTTTTCTTAAAAAAAAACTGTCCGTCAACGACTGAAAAGGACGGTGCAAAAATAAGTCATTCTTTTCTCACACTTTTTAAACCCTTTACTTCAAGCGTGGCTTCACTAATAGCCTTTCGCCCATGGGAATGCACTTTTAGACATTATTTGTATCTTTCCTGTTTAGACGAGAGACTGAAAATAGACTGACTTTTGCAATGAGGAGGCAAGCTTAGAAAATTTAAAAAATAACAAAACATGCAATGCAGGCGAGAATCAGGAGTTTATATCACTACAAAAGTTTCTGTCACAAATCTTTTAATTTCTGAATATATAGTATGTCTCTCCAATGCAGATAGGTACTTTTACGTATGAGCTTTTAGTGGTCACTGCTCGCAAAATGAAGTCCTAATGATTATTGTGGGTTGATATTCATTCTCTTCCTATATATTGGTACTAAAATAAACTCTAGTTTTTAATAGTTACTAAAATAATTTCTAGTTTTTTAATTATTTTTCATGGAAAGGAGAGTGCTATGTAAAAATGTCATTCGGTAACGTTTATTCGTTTTTCTGTGGTAAAAAAAAAAAAAAAAAAAAAAAAAAAAAAAAAAAAAAACAGCGGAGATTTTTAAACGTCATAATCGAGATAGTGTTTTTCAGTGTTCGCACGTTGAGTCACAAGCTGGAAGCGTTGGCTTGCCGTTCTGTTTTCCTTCAATTTTCAATGGAGATTATTGTCAACGGTCACTCGTGAGACGGTTTCCGCGAGTGAAGCCACGGCTACACAGACAGCGCGTGACGCAAAGTCGATCGCGCG